TGTCGGCCCAGCACAGCGCAGTGCTGGAGGCTCTGGGGAGCCAGCTCTGGAGGCAGTGAATCCACAGCCGGGCTCCAGGAGGGACCAGGCTGCTGAGCAGGGGACGCTGGGTGCAGGTGGCCTGGGAGGAGGAGCAGGGCCCAGGTCACGCCAGGGAGAGGCAATGGCTTTGCGGCTGCGAGGACGTCCTTTCTCCTCTGGCTGAGCTTCTCTCACAGGGACCCGGGGGAAGAGCGGTCACGGCTCACGGCTCCTGCCCTTGTCTGTGAGGGGCTCCGGGACACAGATGGACAAGGACACAGTCTACACATGGGCGGAGCCTGGTCAAACTCACACCCGGATTGGAGTCCAGATTTCGGTCTTTACTTGCTGTGTAAATCTGAGCAAGCCGCTAAGCCTCTCTGAGCCTCAGTGTCCTCATCTGTACAATGGGAATCTAACAGTATCTGCCTGGCATGCTGACGCGGAGGGAACCCGATTGATCCACCATCCGGCACGTCGTGTGTCCCCAGCAAAGAGCCGCTGTTGTCACAGCCGTTCACGGCGATGATGGTGACACCCAGCACGCTTGAGACGCCAGTTGTGGCGGCCGGCTGCTGCTATGGCCACGGGGTGCTTGCTGTGCAATCACAGATGCTCAGCCTTTGCACGGGGGCAGAGGGAGAGCTCCAGGGCGTGCACCTCGTGCCCCCGCTCCCTGTCCGCACCTGGATGTGGAACGTCAGTGGTTTTGCAAAGGAAACCCCACTAGTGAGGGTTGGGATCTGCCAGGACCCTTCCATGCCTGCGCACTGCTGGCTCGCGGTCCTTGCCCTCCGTGCCACCCTGAAGAGGCCCTTCTGGCGCCCTTAGGGCTCAGCCTCCAGCACCTTCATCAGCACCGGGGCCCACGGTCCTGTCGTGTGGCTCTTGGATCCCACCCAGCAGGTCATCAGGGGCAGGGGGGCGGTGCTGATGGCTTCTGCCCCCGGCTCACCGAGCTGCCTGGATCTGGGGTGCAGTTGTGTGCGCCTGTTCAGAGCGCGATGGATGGGCACACACAGGGGGTGGTGGTGGCTTTACCGCCCCCCTCTCCTCAGGCGGGCAGCCTCGGCCTTGGGCTCCCTCGGGGAGCTCAGCCGCCTTGTCCCCAGCAGCTGAAGGGAAGGCCCAGGCTGGGGTTGTAACCCTCATCACAGCTGCGGAGCCCTTTGCTCAAAGAAACCTTCGCCCGGAAACACAACATGGAAGCCGGGCGAGAGCAGAGGGGGCCTGGCTGAGGCTCAGGGCCCTGGCCTGCCCAGGTCCTGGCCCCCTGGCTGAGGACCCTCCCAGGCTCCTCCTTTTATAGATGAGGACACGGAGCCGGGTGTGGGGACAGAGCGCAGGACCCGAGGGCCCTCCCCTGACACTGCTGCACACGCTGATGATCTGTCCCGTGTCCGCCCAGCACCGGCAGGAGATTCTGGGTCCTAGGCCCGGGCAGTGCCCAGGTGTCTGAAGAAGCTCTCAGGAGACCTCAGATGCAGGCAGGATGGTGCACACACAGCCTGAGCCTCAATTCCTCAGGTCAGCAGGCCGAGGAGGACCGCCTGGGGCTCGTCACCAGGGCATCACAGGGCGTCCACCTTGGGCAACTCATCACAGGACCAGACAGGTGTTCTCAGGGAAGCCACGAGTCCGAGCTTGGCTGTCTGGGGAGATGAGCTCCCCGTCTGGTTTCTAGCCACGTGGCCACACCTCACCCCAAGGTCTTGGGGGCAGGGTAAGCTTGCCAATCCCCGCGTGGCAGACACCTCTGGCATCTGTGCCTGACCAGGTCCCCGTCTTCCCCGACCAGGCCCTGTCACCTCTAACCAGGGCCCCGTCCTCCCTGACCAGGTCCACGCCACCCTGACCAAGGTGCTCAGACCAGGCTCTGCTCGGCCCCACGGTGGCGGCTGCTCCCCCTCCTGCTGGGAGGGCTATAAAATGAAACCAGGGAAGCTGACAGATTGCAAGCAGAGGGTTTCTGGATGCTTAATGCAAATCGCCGACTGTCTCGGAACATCCAATGTGCAGATCGCCTCCCTCCCGCTCTGGGGGAAGCCCTCCTCGGTGTGGGAGTCGTTAGTGCTGAATATCAAATGCTATCAAGACGGCTTTAACGTGTCACGCTCTGCTTCCGACCAGGTAATGAATCAGCGGGAAGGGAGGTTCCCCGGGGAAGGCGCGCTTTGAGAGAGGACGGTTAATAACCGCTGACCCCTCCCCCTCCTGAACTCAGCAGCAGGGAACTGCGGTGAACGTGCACTTGACAAAAGGCAAGGCCACGACCTGGGTGGGGGCACCGAAGGAAGAAAGGGAATTCCCAGAAAATCGCCTCCTGGGGGCTCTGGTCCCAGCGGTCCCCTCTCACTGAGTCTCGGTGGAGGCACCCGGCTCCGCATTCGCAGGCCACAGTCGGCCACCTGGCCCAGAGGACAGGATGGAGGACGTCCGGAATGTTCCGGCCGGGCGGGGTCCCTAGGCCGCTCAGGCGGTGGAGGGGGACCTGCTTGCCCAGGAAGGCTAGGCCAGGGAAGGTACCAGAGAGGGTGTGCGTGGCCAAGTTAGCTCCTCCATGAGCCTGCACAGGACAGGAGCGGCCAGGGGGGCCCTGCCGGCCCAGCTGCCCTGCGTGAGGACTGGTCCCCGAGAGGCGGCTGGGCTGGGGTGGCTGTCGCAGGAACCCATAGGCCCACGCCAGCACGGACCTGGCCTGTGCCCAACACTTGTGCTAATTACCACCCATGGCTAGACAGCGGCGCTCCGGCTAATATGAATAATCAAAATGGAATCAATGACAGCAGCGTGTGGCCGAGCTTTGGAGAGCATCTTCTCATGAACAATTTGCCCGAGAGGCGGCCAACCGCTGGGAGAGAGTAATTGAGATGTGGAGGCGGGGCAGGGGGAGGGTGGGGTGACCCCACATGGGGCTGGCTGCTCCATCCCCGCCCAGGGGAGAGGTGGAGAGCTGTGGCTGGGGCAGACAGGGCCTGAGCCCAGGTCTAGCGCCGCTGTCACCCCTGCATGGACAGACTCATGTGCCCCAACATTCTTAGGTTGGAGCCCTGACCCCAAGGTGACTGTGTTTGGAGACAGGGCCTTTCAGAGATGAACAAGGTTAAAGGAGGTCCTAAGGGTGGGTCCTAACCCAACAGGACTCGTGTCCTGTCAGAAGAGGAAGAGGCACCAGGATTGTGCACACACAGGGCAAGGCCGGGGGAGGACACAGCGAGAAGGCAGCCGTCTGGCAAGCCCGGAAACGGGGCCTCCCCGGAAACCTACCCAGCCGACTGACACCTTGATCCTGGACTTCCGCCTCCGGACTGTGAGAAAATTAATTCCTTTAAGCCGCAGAGCCTGTGGTATTCCACCCCCTGGCATAGAGATTACATCTCTAATCTCTCAACCACCCCCTGAGGAAGAATTATCGTCGCATTTATTAATTTGAGAACCAAGACGCGGGAAGTTACGTGACTGACACTGCAGAGAAGGGGCGGGGAGGGGCTGCAGAGCCAGGCTCGTCCCGCTGCACCCCTTCCGGGACCCCCAGGAACTCCTGGATGGATGAGGGGGTGCGGCCCCATCCGGGGGCGGAGATCCCTTTCACTCAAAGCTACACTCACGTTACTTCCTGGAGAGAGGGTGTCCAGTTTATGGGGGGGGGGGTGCTGGTGACGGTGCAGGAACACCAGTAACCTGAGGCTGGGCCAGGTGCTGACCCCCAGCCCGCCGCCCACCCTGCCGGGTCCTGCCCTCTCTGGCTACAGAGGATGCCACCATCTCAGAAGGGCCAGGCTCTGAACCCTGGCTCCCCACTCGTGACCTTCCTTCCCGGGGCCAGGACAGCCGGACAGCTGGGCCAGAGCGTGGGCCCCTGAGCTGGCCAGGCCACCCAGACCAGGGAGAGGACCTGGCCGGGCCCCCAGGGTGCAGGGGAGAGGGTCTGGAGCCAGCAAGAGAGGGAGGGGGGCCTGGGCCAGGAGCCAGGCTCAGGGCTGAACCTGGGCCTCTGGGTTCCCGGAGCCTGGCCATGTTCATAGCGGAGATGGAGCATTTATGGGGAATTTCTATGAAAGACAGAACCCAGAGGAAGACTCCTCCCAGAGGAGCTGGGGCTTTCGGGGAGCAGCGTTTGGGGGTTGTGGTGGGGAGGGGACTCACCTCGTCAGAGATGGGGACCCAGAGGCAGTTCCTCTTGGTTGTCCCCTGACGCGGCGACCCTAAGCGGTGGTGGGACTTGACTGAAGGGCAGAGCAAACCCCAGCTCAGCGCCTGAGCTCGCTGTGCGGGAGGAAGGGGCTGGGCCCCAGAAATGCCGAGAGCCTGTGTCAGGCTGGCCCCATGCGTAAGATGTAAGGAAG